CCCAGGCAGCTTGCTTTGACTATGCGCCCCCTTTTTTTTTTACTCGTTTCTCTTTTGTGCGTGTTTCCCCTTTTTACGTGTTTTTCCCCTTTTACGTATTTTCCCCTTTTTACCTGTTTCTGCTTTTCCCGGTAATAACCTCTGCGAACGGATATTTTCCCCCTCGATACGCCCTCAACGTGAACGTGTACGCGCATAACGCTTATGAGCGTTTCTCCCAACCTCGGCGTACTCATAACCACGCGCATACTGGTTTATCACTCTCCCCTGTCGCTTAGTTGCTGCTCCCTTGCCGCTAACTCCCCTACGTCTGTACTCCCACGAAACATGTAGCATGTGACGCGAAGTACATGCGTGCCATATCGTCCTTTTTTTTTTTTTTTTTTTTTTTTTCCTAACCATATTTTCCCCGTTAGCCATGTTAAAGTATGAAGCATGGGATTCATAATTAACGATGCCAAAAAAAATGACGTGATTAAAACGAGTTCCGCAGAAATAAATCGTGAGCAGCCCACAAGTGACATTCATTTGGGTGAATCGAATAACGGGGGAAAAAATGCCGATCAGTGCCCAGGTGAAAATGGAGTTATTCCATTGAGTAGTGATGGTGACACCCCAACGGGGGAGGAACATCCTGTACGGAGCGAAGGCTACGTCGTGGATAATCACGCCAATGAGAAAGAACAACCCTGTGGTGGCACCCAGATTGATTATTTCGCAACGGATGAGACCACTATTAATTATGCTGCCAACCCCGGACAGCATGGCCACTGGAGTGGCAACCAGGGCAGCGAGCGGGAGCCTTTTGTGGGCGAGACCCAGGTCAGTAAAGGTGAAGGAGAAGAGGAAGCGCAACCGTCAGCTCAGCCAATGCAGCGAACAGAGCCAACGCCACTAACAGAGCCAACGCCGCTAACAGAGCCACCTGTCTCGCTTGTGTGGTCTCCCAACACAGTCCACCCCCCCGACGTGCCCCTTCAGCAACTTCCATGTGACAACGGAAGTGACATTAATGGGAAGATGGGGGAAAACAACTTAAATCCAAATGATAAAGGAGGAATGCACAGTTTGAGAAATGGGAATCGCGACTACGCAGGCAGCCGCAGTGGTGGTGGGTCCCATGGTGTGTTTTACGTACAGAGACCAATTGAAGAAGGACAGATCGGACGGAGTGAAGACCCAAATGTGTTAATCTGTACCATCGAGCAGCAGCAGAGTAGGTTCTCATTCCAGTCAACTTCGATGAATCCTAACGAACGTGCCGTTTTGACACAGGATGGGGGAGGAAGTGAAAGCCTCCCCATAACTAACGTGCAGAAATCGATTCGCAGCTCAGATGTGAGTGCATCATGTGGAGGGAAAGAAGCAGTGACGGTGATGCCACCCCCTCTGGAGAGTAATGCGCCAGAGCCTAAAGGAGCAAGTGGAATGGCGCACCAGGCGGTGGGAAAAGTGGATTGCGCAAATGGGGAAGTATCGAATCAGGGGGAAGTACCTGGAGGGGTAGCGGAACGTATCGCTCGAGCTGTAGCGGGACATGTCGGTGGAGAACCCTCGCGGATAAAGCACCTCCGCTCATCTGATCAGAAGCGTCCAAGTAGTCCCTATTGGGATGATGGCGATGAGTCGAACAATATGATAAGAAAAAAAATAAAAAAAAAAGTTGACGAAAATGATGAGATATTTTATGCGATTAATGAATTCATGAAGGAGGGGCTCAAAGACGAATGCATCCCCTTGTTTGAGCGTCTGCAGCAGAATTTGTTTTTTTTAGTGATGCTTGCGAACATCCCGAATGACGACTTCGACGAGCTGAATAGCAGTTCGTCGGATTATTAGGGTGTCTTCTGTGTCTGTTATGTGTTGTATCTGTGTTGTGTGTGTGTATGTGTCTCCGAGGACCGGTGCGGTTGCAACGATTGCGATGGTTTCGATCAGTCCGATCATTGCCATCGTTGCAACGGTTGCGACGGTTGCGGCGGTTGCGACGGTTGCGGCGGTTGCGATTTGTAGGGAGGCTACCCCTGCTGGGGGCCTGGACAGGTCGTCCATCTCGTTGTGCCGATTTGCCGAATGGGTGTTTGTACGTGGGGGGCGCCCCGTTTGTAAGTATATCATTATGTCATTATAATAACCGCTGCGCCCCCACCTTTTTTTTGTAAAAAAGACCTGCACGCGGGAGAGTAACTCCAGGGAGGTTTTTATCCCGGTGAAGTTAGCCCAGCGAGGGTAGCCTCTCCTTCAAAACTCCTTGAATGGAGTTTTCGAGTAAAGAAAACTGCATTCCATAAGTGTGAGGAGATCTGACAAGGCAGCCTCCGTCCTACTGACAAGGCAGCCGCCCTTTCACCTCTGCTCCTAACGCGCCCACCACTTGTATGTTTTTTTTATATGGCCTTGTTTCCATTTTGCATTTCGTCAAACGACTTCATCGGTTCAATTAAAAACGAACAGCCACACTGGTGGAGTTCGCTCGCAGACGATGTGGTGGCTGGCCTCCAAGGGGGGGGGGTCAGCCTTGAAAGGGGCAAAAGGAAGAACTCCTTAGGATTACGAGGCCAGCACATATTGCCTCGCTTGCTCTAAAAGGAACCCTTTAGCGTTTGGAGGGCACTACATACGGCCTGGCTTCCTCTAAAAGGAACCCTTTAGAATTAGGACGCCAGCAGATATTCCTTGGCTTCGTTGTGCCACGAAAAGAAGATAAAATAACAGGGCGTTATTTCAAAATGGAAAAAATTCAACTTGGCAAATGTTCACGTGGGGTGTCAAAAAAAAAGTTCGTTTTGCTTCGCTGCATTTGGTATCTCGCCCACGTTCAAATGGGAACAAAAAGAAGAAAAAAAAAAAAAAGGCATACGCTAAAATGGGTATGCAAAGGCAAATATGGTGAGTAGCCACTTGCGAGGTTATTGTCGTGCAAGTGCGCTCGCACGCACGTGGGGTGAGGAGGACGAGAAGTTTCCTCTCGCGTCTCCGCCACTGCTCTGCGGCTTGGCTTCTCCCCCGCTTGGCTTCTAACACGTTGACTTCTAACACGTTGACTTCCCCCCCCATCAGTAGTTCATCTCCATGTGCGAGTTGTACTCGTCGAAGTTTTTGGAGAAGCTGCTGTCCTGATCGTTCTGCATGTTAGTCATGCTGTAGCTGGGGTGGGAGGTCTGATGGCACAAGTGACTTAGTAAGGAGTAGTCCAAATTGGTGTAAGAATCATTCTGGCAATACATGTCCCTCCCGCTGTTCATGCCGCTGCTGAGATTGTTAATTTCCGATTTGGAGGAAGTATTATATCCGTAATGCATGCCTTTGCCTCCTCCAGATAAGTGTTCCGATGAGTGATGGTGGTTTCCTCTACTGCCACTTGCACTACCACCTCCGCTACTCCCCCCTTTGGATTTCTTCCCCTCGGCGAAGGATCCGCTGTGGGAGTAGTCCTCCTCCTCCTTCATCTTTGGGTGGTCAAACGGGATGCCGCTTCCGCTGTGGTGCGGGTGGTGATGCGACTCGTAAGGCGGGTAACGGTCCATCGGGTGATCCATTGGGTGATCCATCGGGTGATCCATTGGATGATCCATCGGGTGATCCATTGGATGATCCATCGGATGATCCATTGGATGATCCATTGGATGATCCATCGGATGATCCATCGAGTGATCCATCGAGTGATCCATCGAGTGATCCATCGAGTGATCCATCCTGTGGTCACCGCTACAACTCGCTAGATCGTTGCTCATGCCGTAGCTGCTGCCACACTGACCGCCCCCTTTGGAGGAGTTCTTCACAGAGGCACTGAAACTTTTATTTACATTGTCTAAGTAAGAACAGAAGAGTAGCTGCCGATGCACATTATGCTTGTCCAGAAACTCATAGTTAATTTTAAGCGTCTCATCTGCGACCGCTTCCCAGTAATGCCACACCGTCTTTGGTATCCTAACCTTTAAGTTGACTTTCCCATTGGTCTTCTGAGGAATGTTACAGCGCAAGTAAGCAAAGCCTTGCTCGTACAGATTTCTCAGACTGATGTCATGAGAATCAGACGTATTGTATACTTCGTGTAGGGTATACTTCTTTGCCTGGATGAGTAGATTGTCTCCCCAATCGACGAGGAACTCACACTCCAGGGTAAACAGATCTCGTAAGACCATCCCGCCAAGTTTATTAAATGTTATTTTGATAAAGCAGAAATTTTTGGTGTAGTTTTCATCTGGGAACCCATTGTTTGGGTAGATGCCGGAGATTTCAAAATAAGGTTCGTCTAGATCGTTCTTGACCGTTGGGAGGATAATGTTGCTGTCGTCAAGGATTAGGATATCCAGTTCAAAGCATTGGTTCGATGTCTTACTCTTTCTCGGCTTTGTCACAATGTTCTCCTCGTAATACTTCAGTTCGTCATTTACAAAATCGGTGGCCTTCTTGATTAGCTCCTGGTTGTACAGGGTCAGCGTTCGATCCAGGACAACCTGCTCGTTGTTATTCTCCACGCTGAGGGAGCGAGATTCGAAGAAGCTGCTGTGGGGGGGGAGAAGTGAAGGGGAAGAGAGATATCAATGCACACGTGCAGATGCGGACATACACATATGTACAGATGAAGGCACCTTCATATTGCCCCTTTTTCCCGGGGGCCTCTAACAGAAGAAGCGTCCACGCCGCGGACGGACCATCTGTCCTTGCTCCGCCTGCTTACTCGTTACGAACGGAGTTGTAGTAATTCAACTCGGGGATGCCCAGTCTCCACATGACTTCCTTCCAGCAGTCTGCACATGGGGGGGAAAGAAGAGAAGTGGATGGGTAAGAGGATGTGGAAGCGGATGGGAGAGCGGATGAGAGAGCGGATGGGGAAGCGGATGGGTATGGGGTCATAGGAACGTGTACCCTGCTCCTAAGTGGGATGCTAACTGCGCTGCTAACTAGACCGCTAGCTACGCTAGCTACGCTACGTGTGCTTCTTAGTCACGCTGCTAACTAGGATAGCTGCTCCCCCCCCACTTACTTATATTCTTCTGGTAGTGCTCCGTGGCAAACTTCTGCTTGAGGATGTGTCGGCCGCAGGAGCGGCACAGCGTGCGCTCGCTCTGGCGGTAGTAGAAATCGATTCGGACATCGCCGATGAACTGGTCCCCACGGGTGACCGTCCGAACCTTGATGATATCCGTGCTGGGAAACTCCCACAGTCTCTCGAAAAGCTCGTCCACAAGAAGGACGGTCTTAAACCCGGTCACTCGCTGGTTAATCGGACGAATATGCTTAAACAATTCCTTCGGCACGTCTTCCATTTTGTACGTTTTCCAATTTGCACCACTTTTCAGAATAGTCAGATCTCTCAGCATATCTTTTATTTCCTTGTGGTTTAAGCACGAATAGCTATTATTTGCCTTTTTTTGTGTAACAGCATTTTTTTGCATCACGTTATTTGAATTCTCCTTTGTCATTCCATCATAGGCCGTCTTTGTCTTTTCCTGGTTGGTGCTGGTGGAATGAGTTCTCCTTCTCTTGACATTATCGTTACCTTCCAATTTTTCATGCGTTTTATTTTTGTAGGGATTTTTTCCATCCATATGGAGACTTCCTAAACTTCCGCCGATGATGTTCTTCTCATTGATGGACGATGAGGTGTTCATACCACCTGTCGCACTCCACCCAGTGTCATTCGCACCTTCCATTCCTCCAAAACTGCTGTTCCCTCCATCTGTGTCCATACAGCGGGAGGTGGTTCTGCTACTCGTGGTGGTTGTCGTCGTCATCCTTAACCCATGCTGCTCATGCTGATTATTGTCCAATGACAATTCCTCCTTCACATCTACCATCATTCGGTGGTGATGGTAGTGGCTATGCTGCCCGTTGTTATGCTCTTCCATACTGTGCCCTCCTCCTCTTGTTCCAAATTTCCTCGTCTCCATGTGGTCCATGTCATAATTGTAACTGCTCTCATCATTGCTATCCTTCATTTCGTCCTTGATGTAAAAATGAGTTGTGTTCATGTGATCGTCGTAGTTCATTTGGCTGTGTGCATTTCCACTGCTCCTATTCATCATGTTACCGCTCATCTCTCCTCGCATGCCATGGTGGTGATGCCGCGTGGCTTCCATCTCGTCGAGGTGTTCTCCCTGCGCTCCCCTGTTGTGGAAGCGTTGCATCGGCGGGTACATTGTCTGTCCCGACATCCCCTGATGCTGTGAATGCGTGTGATGTGTCTGCTGCTCCTCTAGGTAACTCTTCCTTCGCTTTCCACTCATGCACGCCTCCTTCGTAGGGTACGCATCGTCGTTAATAAAATACTTGTTGCTATACTTCTGCTCAAAATTTCGGTAAATGAGCCTCTCTCCATTGACTTCCTTCCTCCTCAGGGAGTAGCCGTTGGTGGTATTGCCATGTGGCGCTCCCACTGCTCCAGCTGCTCCTCCTCCAGGTGCTTCTACTGTTCCTCCTGATGCCGTTCCTCCTCGAGAATTTCCTCGAGCTGAGTGCATGGTATTACTCCTTGTTGGTCTATTCGTCTGACTGGAAGAGGTGGATCCACGATTCGTTGGAGTGCCTTTCATTCGTCTTCTTTCCCCTTCATGGATTGCGCTACCACTCATGGTTGTTTCCGTCGCTCCAGAGTTTGCATATCCTGTTGCTCCAACGCGACGACCATCTGCTCCGACGTCAACATTTCTTCCTTTGTGTCTTCGCGTGGGTTCTGTACCCATGAGTCCACTCGGACGGGTCATGTCCAGCATGCCTCCGCTACGGGCACCATTATCTTCTTCCTCCTTGTAGCCCTCCTTGAACTCTTCGCAGAAATCTTCTATCTCCCCTTTGACGTACCCTTGGTTGTAATGAGGCATCAGTCGGCGCCGCCCCTCTCCACGGTAGGGAGGAGACAACAGAACATCTCCATATTTTTCCCTCAAATGGAGCAAAACTCCCTTGAGGCAGTTAATATACTTCGTTTTAACTACTTTGTTTTTGAGAATGTTTTCGAAGCATGTCACCAGGCTGTTGTTGTCAATAAAGAAGAGGAAGAGGGGGGTTATTATTGGGGTGCATTCGAGAAGGTCCTCGCTGTCATCGTTGAGCAGCTGTAGAAGGGTGTGCTTCTCTGTGCTCGATTGGTTGGTTTGATTGGTTTTGTCCGCTTCGTCTCCGTACTCCGCTTTATCTGCTTTTACTTCTTCGTCTTCTTCTTCTGGCTCATCTGCTTTTTCCGTTTCGTTCCCTTTTGGGGCATCATTCTCTATAGGCTCCTTCTTCACACAGACTCGTCCAATTTTGTCGCGTATCCCTTTCGGCTTTTTCGAATCGACTATTCCGTTCTTATCGTTTGTTCCCTTCGTATCGTCTTTTCGGTGTGTATCTTCTCCTCGGTTCCCCCGCTGCGCCACTTGCGGCTCCGATTTTACTTCCGCTCGGCGCTTCGATTCATTCGTGGTGACGATTGAGTTGACGAAGGTCTCGTAGTTGAATGTTACCTTCGGAGACATGCGCTTCGCCTTCAACTTAAGCCCCTTCTTGTTAACAATCTTAAAATACCGTAAATAGCTAGCCACAGAAATGCTATCGACACTTTTCAAAAAATAATTGCAATAGTGCTCATACGTTATATCATCATCACTTAGGTATTTACACATATGCATTCTGTCACGACAGAGATTTATTTTGGTTTCCTTTCCCTTCTTCTTGTGTGTCTCCCTTCTGTTATTCGCTTTGTATATGCACTCATCATCTGATCCCTCTCCTCTAGTCATGTCGTTAAGGAGTGATGCATCTCCGAAGTCATTCACTGAGCCGTGTTTACCAAGGTAGTGGTTCCTGTTGTTGGTGGGAATCATGTTTCCATACCCCGTGTTGCGCATTGAGGAGGCGTTTCTGTACCTATGGCTTACGTTGCTATCACCCCGGGTACTACTATCACTGAGGTGCATTCCTAGTGAGCCCTTATGTATATTACTCGTCATTGTAGTTGTTGTTCCTCGGTTTAATCCTGCTCCTCTGTTTCTACTTCTGGCTGTACCTCTTTCTCTTTCTATTTCTCCAACTGTCATTTTGCTATTATTTGTATTTAGTCTGCTCCTTGCATGCGTCTTCTTCGTCTTGTTAATTACTGTGAGTACTCCCCTTCTTCTTTTCCTTCTCCTTCTATTCAGGTTGTTGCTCGTGTTGTAATTTTCGCCATCTTCTTCTCCGTTAGTCCCTCCTATCATGAACATGGTGTTATTTCCTTCGTGCTCCATTACTCCCTCCCTCGCATAGCGATCGGAATTCATAGCCGTTACTGCTGAGTCTCGACTTGGGCCAAAATTGGCCATCATTTGGTTGGAGCTTCTTCGCTCACCTCTCGCGCCTGTATCGGCCAACTGAGCGGACGCGGCGTCTACTGCGACCATCACCAGGGAAGAAGACCCACCTGTATGTTTTCGCATGTTCAGCTTCAACCACAGGGTTCTGTTCCCATAATAGTTACTCCTAAAGGAAATATAATTCCTTCGTATGCTGGAGTTAAAATTGTATTTCTTCTTGACAAATGAGAAGGACGCATTGAAGAAATGGTAGCAATGGTAGATACGATTGCTATGGTAGCTATTCCTTGGCTTGGCCTCATTGTTGGTGGGGGGGGGAGGAAGGGCGCGGCTCGCGGGATAATTGGGACCTCCGCTCACGGTGTAGTTCAAGCCGATCTTATAGCCAGCCATTGCCCCCAGGGTGGTGCCCATGCCACTGCCCTGACGACTACTACCTCGGAGGCTCCTCAAACGACTACAGCGCCAACTATACCGGTAGATGATGTGGTGACTGCTACGGTGACTGCTATAGTGGCTTTTGCAGCTCCGCATGCTGTGCTCTTCTCTTCCGGTGGTGACAATGGATCCGACGCCACTCTCGCTATTCTTCCTCCCTGTTCTTCTCTTCCCCTTGGTAAGGTTTTCCTTGTTAAAGTTGCCATAATCGCTGAGGTTCGGTCTCTGGCAGTACCCCCTGCCCATTTTGGTATGTGCTGGGGCGCCGGGCTCCTCCAGGAGACGATGACCCATTCGATCGCCCCCTATTCGGTCGCTCCGCATCCCGTTTCCGCCATTCGTGCTGTACATGCCACTGTGATAATAATGATTTGGCTCGTTAAAGTGGCTGCCAGTAGGGATGGTCCCACTATTGTGAAAGCTAAAGTTGTCACCTCCACCGTTGTTAGTGCTACCCATCACGGGGAAGCCGCTTTTCGGAGACCTCTGGTTGTTAAGCCGTTTGCATTTTCTCCTGCCTTGTCCTTCGTCCTCTTCTGCCTTCATACCCTTCTCCCCCATCTGATTATACTCGCTATTTAAAGAAACTCGACTGTTGCTATGTCCATGGCGCAATGATCTATAATAAGTGGCATCTTTTCTGGTCGCCGTTGACTTCCCGTTCGCGTAAATAATTTTGTGACCATCTGGCATGTCCATCGCTTTGTCTTTCATATAGGAGGGAATAATCCCTCCATGGAGTGGGGTCTCAAAATATGTCTTTGACGAGTGCTGATACGTCATGTCGTTTCTCTGAATCTTACTCTTCCTGGTGTTTCCATCACCGTTGCTGCTACCATTCAATAAGGCTGCACTCCTGGGAGAGGAGTCATTCACCGGAAAAAACTCTTCTTCCTTCTCGTTGGCATCCTTGCCATCACCGCCATTATACCCATTGCCATACTTTCTGTAACGGTTAAGATACTCTAAAATTGCTGGGGGCGTGTCACTGTTGTTTCCGTTTCCCTCTTGGAAGTTGTGTGGATTTGTTGAGCTCTCCCTACCGATAAAGTCTGCATCGTAGGGGGGATTATTACTTCCATTCGTTCTTTTCGCATCAGCCACATTTGCAAAATGGGAAAACTGATTATACATGTGATTGCCATTCTGGTGACCGATCTCATCTGGGTCCACTCCATTTGCTGATTCGAAGGAGACCTCCTCATGTCCGACATGCTCTTCACCTTTGGCTCCTTTCACCACGTCACTATCCATTCCACTGGGGACGTTTTTTCTTAAGGGGCAATTGTTGGTACTCTGTTCTTGCGAGTCGCCAATCTTGCCTCTCTCGCCACCTATTTGGCTGTACACGTAGTTATCGACGAGATCCTGATAGCTGCTTCCGTTGTTGGATGCTGGACTGTCTTCGATGGAGCCGTTTATTAGAGTTTCCTGCGAACAGTTTAGGCTGGAGCTGACGCTGACGTCAGTGATGTCGCTGACCTCGGTGATGCCGCTAATGTTAGTGAGGTCGCTGAGGTTGGTGATGTTACTCAAACTCGGCTTGCCAACGCTTCCGTATGTGCTGCCTAATTTTACAATATCGCTGTCGCCTTCTCCCCTATTAGGAGAATCGCTCTCATCATTCGCGTAATCGTAATAGGGATTTATTTTTTGACTGCATTTGTAACTGTTGATGGCGCTTTCATTGTACCTCGCCTGCTTCTCCTTTGCGTCGTATCTCCAGTTGCGTAATTGCACTTCGCTCATATATGCACTATATGATATATCTTCCATTTTGTTTTGTTGAAACAGATGGTAGCTCGTTAGGCCATTATTCTTTCCTGCACGAGTATTATACGAGTGTCTGTGTGTATATACCTTTGCACGCGGTCCACTATCTTCGCGTAGCGTTCCCGGAATTGTTTCGTTTGCTTCGCTAGGCGCGCCCCCTTCGGCCGTGCAAAGGGGGAGCCTAAAGTAAAAAAGCTATCTAATCTGATCTGTGTGAATCGCCTCCTCTTCACTTCTTCCTCACCCGTCGAGCGGCGTACCGATGATACTGCTCGCACGATACTGTTGCGAGGATACTCCTGCGACTCTAACTCTAACGCGCCGGAAAAATGGACGCACGCGAACGCTCGCTCCTTTCTGGGGTTCAACTTAGACGCTCTTTGGATTCTCCCCTTGAAAGCATAGGAAAAGAAAAATGCAGAAAATTGCAGAAAAATGCAAAAAAAATGGTGTCCAAAAAAGTTGTTGCCTCTAGGTTCATCCTCTCTCCCTTTCTCCCACAGAGTGTGTGGGATTTATTACACGTGAAGATTTGCACGCTCGTACGCATGCAGGCAGACACGTATAGGTATGCGAAGGACGCATATACGATCGCATCTGTGTATGTACAGGGCCCCGCGAAAACGCGGTGCGGTTAAAAAGGGGGCGATGCAACCCAGTAACTTATCCGATCAGACGGGAAAAAACACTAACCCTGTTGGCTAATAAGCTACAAAGTGGTACCAAATCGCATGTGCAAAGGAAAAAAACATAAATATATACATATATGTAACTAAAAAAGTGGGGCAAATAAATGCCGAAAAAAAGTCACCTGCGCGCATACATATATATATTTAGGTACATATGTATGTACACATGTATGTATATATGCATACACTATATATTTACAAATATTCCGGTGCACGGGACAGCCGAAAGATACGTGCGCGCAAAGTTTAAAAACACAAGAGGTGCATATCGTTTAATGAAGTCATCACAATTAAAAATAACTAAAAAGTGGGAAAGGAACAGAAGGTGCAGCGTTGGATAAGGTCCACACCGGGCCGCGCGCGCGCAAACACGATGGCCACCATATCCACATGCAAGACATGCATTGCGCTTGTATGTATAAGAATATTGTACGAGTAGGTACGCGTATAGGAAAATTCTCTTGATTATATGCGTCTGTTTACATATCAAATCGTAGTTAAAGCTGGAGGAAAAAAAAAGAAAAAGTTTCCCTCTTTGTGCTTTCACGTGGAGTTGCTCTGCCACCTCAGTCCTTCGTGAGGCACCTACAGTGGAGGTACTCAAAGTGGTAGCACGCACGGTGGAAGTGCGCACTATTACGAGGGCACCAAGGAATACAAAGTGGGGTAATCAATATGGACAATGGAACACAGGGTACACGAGTATCAGACGAAGAGGGGCGAATGAACACAGGCGAGTCAACACAAAACAGAATGAACAATAAAATCAGAGTAAACCGTATGAACAAGGAAAATAAAAAAAAAAAAAGAAAAAAAAAAACTAGTTGCTCACAGAACTTGAAGGGACAGAATAAAAAATATCTGGAAAAAAGTAATAAATAATCAAAAAAATAAAGAATTGAACAAATTCCCTAAACTGTAAATTTAAAATAAAAAATTAAAAAAGGGTAGATAAGAATATATACATAAGTAATAAACTCGAGGTATGTACATTTATCTACTTTTTAAACAATTGGGGGAAAAAGCAAAAAAAGAAAAAAAAATCGTCATGACAAATGAAAATAAAATAAAAAAAAAAATACATTTACATATTTTATTTATTTACTTGTTTTTCTTTTTTTTTTCTTCTTTCCGAACAAGAAAAAAAAAGAATTAGCAATAAAATATACGTGTGCACAAAAAGAAACGATAGGAAACGAAAGAAGCGAAATCAAGGAAGCGAAACGAAAGGAGCTAAATCAAACATGCGAAATGAAAAAAGCGAAATGAAAGAATCGAAACAAGCTGCCATGCGAAAGCAGCGAAATCAAAGAGGCGAAACGAAAGCAAAGAAAGGAGCGAAATGAAAGAAGAGAAACGAAATTAGAGAAGCGAAATGAAACGCAGATTTAGAGCCTTACTGCAGGGCAGCAAGGAAAAAGCATCGCGGGTGCATATAATTCACTCGTGCTTGCCCGGTTGCTGCGGTATATATTATGCATTAAGCGTTTGCGTATATTCACGAGGGGTATATGGTTGCGTGAAAACAGATCCAAGCATTGCATTCTAAGATAATGTTTTCATAATCGCATGGAAGGGGGAAAGAAAAAGAAAAGAAAGAAAAAAAAAACACATTAATATATATATCATAAAATAAGCTCATCTTTGTTTTACAATACTGCTATATCAGAGCTGGCAATACATGTTTGAAAAAAAAAAAAAGGTGCCATTAAAGGGGTGAAACATGAAACGAAAAATAAATCAAAAAAAAAAAAAAATACACTTTTACATGTTGAACTAAAGAAAAAAAATGGAACTCATACATTATATGCATATAAGTACGCCCGAGAGCAAAACGCAATTCAAAGAAAAAAAAAAGCTGAAAAAGATAAAAAGACCTGCCTAGAAAAGCAACATATATAATAAATTATACAGCGTACATCGCGCTGGGAAGGAAAGCAATAATATACGTGACATGAAAAAATGTTTTAAAAAAAGTCATCCCCATTACGTGATGAAAAAAAAATGCTGCAAAAGAGGCCCCATAGAAAAGAATAAAAATGGGTAAACGCAAATAAAATCAAAATAAATTAAAGAAAAAAAAGGCACTTTCCTGTGAGGGCAGCATGCATTTCGACCCAAATGGGGCACCGCCTTGTCCGCGCCGGCTTGACATACAAAAAAAAAAGAGGAAGAAGAAAGAGGGGGGCCAAAGAATAGCCATCAACTACATAGGTTGTTGCAAAAATCTAACGCCTGTTTTATGCACGCATGACTGCACGCACGAATGTGAGCAAAACGGATGTCCAAATGTAAGCCAGTTCCGCTGCGTGACACATTCTTGCCGCAGTGGGGCACTCTCCCCCATTTTGCCGTCTTGGCAACGCACACAGGTGTTCAGTTTATGTACATATGGGACTCAGTGTCGCATGGTGTACGAGTTGCCAATTTTCTTTTGTTCGGCTTGCGCAGCTGCGTCTGCAATTGGTAAGGAGTGCACCAGCATACAGGTGAGTGAATAATGTATTGTATATATACGTATTTGTATCTACGCTGGCGCAAGGCGAGCAAAACGGTCGTGTCACAGGTGGCAACTGCGTGTCGGTGATACCAACGTGGCGGTAACAACTACGCAAGAGAGAATGACACATTATGTGCGAGCATACGCTCAGCTGGGGAAAAATGACTCCTCTTAAAAATGGGGGAGTAGAAAGTGGCGACTCGCGTGGAGACAGAGTTGCGCGATTGTTGCGTGACAGTAGCGAGGAGGTTACACGTTAAAGCGGGTGAGAGAGAGATGTATTATATACGACCTCGTACGCAACAAACGAATATTTGTATTGTGTGAACCGCTTATTCAAATCTCCAGACGTAGGCGTGAACGGTAGATATGTTCACCTACGCGTGGTGTGCGAGTCGCACAAGGGGAAATGCCAAATGGATGAATAGATTTGTTTTCACGTATGCGCATATGCGCTTATGCGTTGTATGCATGTTGCTACTATTATGTACGTATGTACATATGATCACGCAGAAAAAAAAAAAACTCTACAGGATGCATATGTTACATTTCGATAATTTCATGTGAACATTCGGTAGGGAACACTGCGAGGTACGTTTTATTCTCTAAAACAGTAGGAATTTTTTTTTCTTCTTCATCAAACTGTTTCTTTTCAATTCTCTACAATTTATTCTTTTTTTTGCGTTTTTTTTTTTTCTTTTAACAAATAAAAGCAGGTATATATATTATGCTGCACATGTATACATATGCACTGACTTGTACGAGGCGCACAAATCACGTGAAAATATTTTTAGGTTAAAAGATTGATCATGGCATGGGACGTGATAAATCATTTATCGCTTAACCTGACCGCGGTGGCATAGGCAGCAGTGGGCAGTGTTATGGCCCGTGCCTACGAACGAATCTGGGCGACGAGCATTGTGCACCGGTCACAGGTATGCACAAAATGTATGCTCAGAAATTTGGCATATAACGTAGCATATTATAATGTAGGCAATATTTTATTTGCCCATTTTATTTTCCTATTTTATTTGCCTATCTTATATGCCTACTTATATGTGAATTTATTTCATTCTGTTCTGCGTCCGTTTGGTGCGTAATGACGCTGCAGGTGTATGCACCTTGTCGCCGTGTATGCAATATCTGTGCCGGGGAGCTCTCAAACAGAATGGCGGAGGGATCATTCACCACGTGAACACGATGCGGTGCTCTATGAGGCGACGTGGCTCAAATGAACACCCTTAAGGCCTTTTTCAACCCCACAAACAAACAGTTTCATATCGCAGGGAATAGTTGCTCTGTGCGTCCTTCGTCCAAAGGTGTGGCATTTTAATTACATATATATAACATTGCCACTAAGGAAGGCGAATATATATTCTTTCTTTTTTTTTAAAGTAACCCTTTGACTGCATGCAGAATGGGTATATATATGACATGCGCCAATTTTACCAGCATATTCTTTTTTTAAAAAAAAAAAACATTGCTCTGGCGTCATGTGCATTTGCGCATATTGCCTACGTAGGTTTTTTTTTCTGTCGTGTTAACCTTTTGTGAATTAACGAAAAAATTGGGTCATGTGGGAAGGACGTCGTTCTGTTCAGCTCAGAGAGGAAAAAATAATAAAGTAAAAAAAATATATATATATGTTGTATATATTATATATATATAATATATTGTTGTATATATTATATATCATATATTATATATATTTATATAATATATATAATTTATATGTAGACGGTTTTGCAAAAGCTAAGCCCCTTTTAATCCATTTAAGGCGGTTAGCCCGTTTGCTCATTTGGCCCATTTGAATTCCTTTTTTTTTTTTTTTTTTTTTTTTGAAGGAGTCTCGCTCTGCCGCTCTGGCTGGAGTGCAGTGGCCGGATCTCAGCTCACTTTTGCCTCCCCCCCTTTTGCATGCAACGGGGTGGGGGGAGTAGTATTATCTCCCTCACGGGTTGATCACCTGGTTGACATATTCTATGTAGCACAGTGAAGTCACCACAAGTGGAAAGCGCTTCATTTGACGATCGTACGTGGCGCATCCCTCTGACATACACTCCATGACGTATGGAGGTGTATTCGTCGGTCCACCTCATCCCTCTGCCATCTGTCATCGTTACGCGTATGCAAACAGCGCGCTCAGGAGTGCCCGTGTTATCTTCGCATGGAGATGCGTATATACAAGTGGGGCATACACACCCTTACGGCACTTTTTAAAATTGTGCCATCGTTCTTCAACATGGTAACAATGAGCAGATGCATAAAGATCAGGTATGAACCTACCCAATCTGCATGCGTTCGGTCAATGCTGTGGCGCGGCCAACAGGAACATTTAAAAGGTAAACTGTGGGTCCACCCGATCCTTCCCCCAACGAACAACAGATTTGCTTCTGACGTTCGTCGCCCTTATTTATCTATTATTCCTCATACGCGAAAGCGTTCTTCTCCCTGGACCATACGGGCACACAATGAAACGCCCAGTTCGCAGCCCTGCAAAAGCGTAAAGCATGATATACGATCATACATAAATGAACGCGTATGCGTATGCATATCCATGCGCATGGAGACTTTCCTACCAGAGCTTCACTCATCAGGAATGTGAACCTAGTTCGAAACTCCACTGATCATTTTTAATGGCATCATACCTTTTCCCCCTTTTAAAAATAACATTCCATTAAATTTTTTTTTCTTTTTTTTTAAAATCCCCTTAAGCTAAAATCTGATGGCCCGTCATGAACACCCCAGTTGGCAGCCCTCTTGGGCACAAGTTCCCCCCGCATGATGGCTTAAATGTGCATCCGAAAAGGGGAAATACATTTATAAAAGGGGGGAATATAAAAAAAAAACCTACACGTGGCACGCTGAGGGATAAATGGACCTTCGTTGATGCTATCTTGTGCGCCCCCCCTCGGCCATATTTACAAAACGATCAATTTTTAAATGCGCCCGCGACGGCATTATAAAGGTGTTATCTCAAAAGGGCATGCACAGGGTGAGCGTTTTTTCTCGCATCTCCCTCCGTCGTTTTTTCTTCTTGTTTCGTTCGTCATACTTGGCATTAAAAAAAAAGGTCAATAATGAGTATCCTCCTTCTGCACACATCTGTCTACCTTCCACCCCGTTTTTACACAGCGGACGTACTGATAAGTTTATGGTCTTAATCCCGAAATGAGCCTTTTAATGTGGGAAAGGGTGAAACACGCACAGGTTCTACATGTGAAGGTTATTCTGTTTGGTCACCAAACGTGCTGAACTGTCATAGGGAGCATCCCGTTTGAAGGGAGAACATGCACTGGGTCGTCCACGTGAAACAGCGCAGTGTTGTTTTGCATGCTTTGAAAAAAAAAAAAATGGACATTTTGGCTAGCTGTCATCAGAATATGACCAATCTGCATGAACGGTTAATAAAAAAAAAGACGGGACAAGGTCATTCTGCGCAGCGAAGACATGACCGTTTCCTGCAGAGGGGAATAAAAAAGGGGGCTGTCATTTCAGCCATATGCTGTGCACATCAACGTATATGCAGTTGGATACTTCTGCGTCCATACGGCTCGTGGACAGTTTAGACGGCCCCCCTCAAGGAAGCGCACACACGGAGAGACGTACCAGGAAGGGGAAGAATATCTCTACGGGGCAAACCCCTCATGCGTCACTTGCGTAATTCGCCAGCCTCCAAATGTTTTCATTCTCTTCGTCAAAGGTATTCTTCCTGCAGTGGTAAGGGGTGCAAGTGCCACCGTTAAAAGGAGTGACTTATCCGTTTACGAGCGCTACTGTCATTGCATGCATTTATTTGTGCAGGCGAGCGATGGGGCCCACGCACTCGTGTTGCGACTACCTGTACGCCATCCTCGTGTTGGGTATGTTCGTTTTCTCCGGGTGATTTTCAAAATTTGTCACTCCATTAGTTGTGTCTGTGCCCAACCAGTGCTTCTTCAAGGATGGTTCGTACCCGCTGAAGGGGAGAGGGGAAGGGACAAGGAAGAAGAGATAGTTACATTTTTCCTTTTTTTTTTTTCTTTTTTCTATACAATTTTGCCAAATAGAAACGGGGACGCAACTTCAAATGAAAAAAGGGCCAATTTATTGCCACCTCTGTATGACGGAGTTCCTTGCTAGTTCGCATAAGTCCACGGTGCTGAGCTTCCATATGTGCTTTGAAAGGGGGATGCGAATGGGTGAGAGGCCCATGTGGAGGCGGGTAAATCAGCAAAATGGTACTCATCAGTCGTGGGTACTCCTCATCAGGGGTGAGTATTTCCCACTCTTGTTCACCACTTCCCATGCCAGGTCCTTACGGCGCACACGGAGTACTCCTCCAGCAGGGGCTCATCCGTGAAGTGGAACATGAGAGGGTCGTCCGTAGACAGCGACACGTTCAGACCAATTTTGAAGAAGCGCTTAAACGGGTTTTTTTCTACGGGGGTGAGGTGAAGGCAGTTTGGCATGTCTCAGCGATGACGCAGCGGGCAGCTCGCTGGCGAGGCGCATTTAATACAGACAGGCATATATACATGAAGAGACGCATATACACATTAACAGAAGCATATACAAATGAACACGCCCATACACACATGGACACACACGAAACCTCCTCCCGCGTGACGCACCCAGTTTGGAGTGATCCTTTCGCGAAGGCCTCCGTGCAGGCATACCGATCTGCAAAAACAGGGCGTTGTTAGACAGGGGCGAAACGGCCAGCCCGATCTGCTTCAAATAATAGAGATACAACAAAACGGGCGATTTCCTCAAATTTATTCCGTGGTTAATCCTGTCGGCCAGTAGGAACATGGTGGCCAGGTGGCTTATGTTTCCGATTTCGCCGCAATGGGGTCTGCCATAAGGGGAGAAAATGGAGGAAAGCGGGCACATCGTCAGCGGAAAGCAGACAACATATCGCGTGCATAAGGCACTTTGGAAGGGGAACACAGTACAGCTTAAGTGGAGAGACATTTTTTCCAAATTGCGGAGGACATTCTAGAGGGGGGTTCGCACAAGCGGATGGGTTCCCCTTCAAAATGTTACACACAAATGGCGCGTATAAATGGGATCGCCTTTCTTGTTACTCACAAATGGCGCGTGTATCCATGGGGCCGCCTTTCTTGTTACTCACAAATGGCGCGTATATCCATCGGGGCGCGTTCCTTGCTACTCACCTGAAAGCCATGGGGCGCAGGTGCCGACTAACCAGAAAGTCATTCAGCGTCCTAATATTAACGTACATATAGTATGCGTAGTAGGAGTAGGGGGGATTATTATCACTGGTGTATTTGTCTGGAGTAGGAAGCTCTCCACCCCTGGAGGTATACTTCGAAATGGCGGACTCATCATCAACGCTGTCCCAACCAACGACTTGCTGGAGGAAGGTAAAGATCTCTTTGTTCTGTTTTGGATATTTGACAGCTTCGAAACAAGGCTGGAATATGTTACTTAGAAAATCTGCAAAGGAATTAATTAACCTTCTTTTTTTATATATATGGTAAAGCCTTGGCACTTGAATAATCCAACGTACAGAACCACTGGAGAGATTGTTTTGTAGAACCCATTTGGATAGCTTTTTCCATTCATTTGGGTTCTGTCCATATATAGATATACGCCACTCCACATGTTGATATTTTGATTTCTCTAAATTTTTTATCTCCTGTTTTGTAATTTCGGCTAGGTACCTTCCCTGGATGTAGTTATCCGTCTTGAGAAAAATCTCTCGTAACAATTTTTGTCCGAACGGATTGTACTTATCGTTGAAGAGGTCGAACCTGTGGAAGCACCCTCCCAGCGCGCTAACCGCTAACGTGTCGACGGTTGCTTCATATGCAGATGTCTTTAATTCTTGGTCGAAAATATCCTTGAGGGTCATTTTAATCCCCTTTTCGGTCATGTACACTACGGTGTTAGGTTCCGTTTTGTACTTCTCTCGAATGAACCGCAGCAATACCTTTTGCTGCATGCAGGCTGAGTGATGTACGTGGGCATCCACCTTCCTGATGTTGTAGAAGTCTCTATGTTTGATGTTAGCTGTTTCACGTAACTCTAGGGACCCATTAAACATAAGATGGAAGTCAAATTTCTGTTCCAGATATTTTAACCTTTGATAGCAGAAGCTTTTGCAGGCGGGGTCTTGCACGGCCACCATTATTTCTTGGGTGGCTGCTAGGTACTCCTCCGTTGACTTGATACCCGCGTGTTCTGGTAGCTTGTTCGCTTCGCAGCATTGGTCTCTGCCTGGATTAGGGATGTGGAGGGGGTACAGTGTAGATCGTGCGGAAGATGTATTCGGCGCAAGTCGCGAAGAAGTAACTAGCAGAACGGTGCCCTGTGCAACGCTCCCATGTGCAGCACTCCCATGTGCAACGATCCCATGCACAATGCTGATCTTTCGCGCCGCCCCGCGCGGGGCTTACTCTTCGGCCCATCGTTCAGCAGGGGGTCCCAGTGAACGAAAAAAATCCCGTCCACAAAATTGAGGAAGGCGTTACACTTCTCCAAAAGGACCACCTTGCTAGGGTTGTAAATTGGCTCATCCGATTTGGTGTCTTCATTCTCCTTCGGTTCGCCGCCCTCCGAGTGGCTTCTTTTTTCTATCAACGTCGTGTCGATGTCGGCGAACGGCTTTATAAACTCGTCCCGCAGATTGCATAGCTTCAGTATTTTCTGCGTGCAGGGGAGGGAGGACACCACTGTAAGGCGGTAGCACTGTGAAGCGGTAGCTTTTTGAAGCGGTAACACTTCGAAGCGATAACGCTGCTCCTCTGCCGTTGCACTGGAGCGATACCTTCGTGACGTCCACCTCCTCGCGCGGAATGACCCCAGTAGACGACAAGGTGAAGACGAAACGACTGGAGCCGTTCAAATCTGGCACCTCCTTACTCACGAGGGCGTTCTCATCATACTTTATGCTCGCATGGGACGACGCATTCATCATCGTCTCGTACAAAGTGTTCGATCCCTTTTTTTTATTCGGCGGGGTTTCACCCAAGTCGCCGTTTCTGTTTGGTCGCTTCATTGTGGCGCAAAGGTTAGAAGCGTGGGGGAAAGGGTGCCACTTTTTTTTTTTTTTTTTTTTGGAAAGGCTACCAATTGGAGGTTTCTGCTCACAACATGTAATTGGCGCATGCGAAATTCCCCACAAAAGGATGTATCTGTGGCAAACAGAACGGGGTATGATGTCTCTACACATGCGTTCGCGTTGTACTCCTCAAACAAGATCAATAATCTGCTGACCATGTGCATGCTTTACACATTACAAAATTGACAATGTAGAAAGGAGGGCGGAAAAGAAAACAAATAAAATAATGAACTATTAAAAGAAGAAAAAAAGTTCGCAGAATACAGCCTTCTTAACTGTACGTATACCTTTGCAGAATTAATTCATTTGGGGGGGGTGAAGGTGCAACAGGGCCAATCTGCGTGTTGCCAAAATATGAACCACGTGAATGTGTAGCACCTGTGGGGGTGGAGTGGCACTGGATAGGTGACCAAGGGGACATGAAACGTTGTTTATGTTCATAGAAACCCAAAATGTGCACATCGAAATGGCACCTAAAAGTGGGCGTTACCCTGGGGAAGAAATAAACAAATGAGGAGGGGTCATCCCCTCTTCTCTACAAAAAGGGGAACTATCCATTTGGCTCCTATAGACATGCTGAAAACGCTGCTGTAAAAAAGAACTCAGTCGCATTCACTTCCCACTTCAGTGGTTCCATTTGGAGATAACCTCATAGGGAAGATTCATTATGTGCAGAACACACGCGCAGAGATGACTCAAACGAACGGAACTAAATTGAGGGAGTACCTACATGCAGCGCCCTTTTTGATCGCCAAAATGGGAAGGCACCCCTGCATAGAGTGTACACATTCACAGTTGTACACGCCGCTCGTGGGAATGGGCAGTGGTGAGCATATGAAGTGGCGATCATATGAAGTGGCGATCATATGCAGTGGTGATCATATGCAGTGGTTGGTTGGCTGAACAGCCATGTAACCCTATCCATGTGGACTGCGTCGACTACGCGAACTGAGCGGACTACGCGGCGTGTCACCATTCGCATGGTCCACCTTTGACTCTTCCCCCCTTGCCATCTCACTTTCCCTTTTTTTAATGATGCGGCATTGTGTCCGGAGATTGCAACTCCCTAGTTACATCCCAAACGGAGGGTTCCCCTGCGAATTTGTCCTTTCTATCCTTTCTGTTCATTGCACGCATCGGAAGAATAGCCCCTGCGATGGGTGTCCACTAATGAGCTGTGGTATTTTAATTGACAACTCAGGGGAGGACGTCCACTATGTATAACTATGTGGGAGGGTGCTAGGGGAAGGAAAAAAAAAGGGAAAAAAAAAAAAATAGGAACCGTTCAGGTAAACTCCTCACTGATGCAAATTTACACAAATGTGTGAGAAGCGAAAAGGAACTCTCATGTGAAGAGGCTTCATTGCCATTACGAGCTTCTTAACAGTTAACCTCCTGGTTCGGTCTAAACACAGTTAGGCGAAACAAACCGTGCGACTTGCCTCCACCAAGTGCAATGGTAAGAATTCTGTTTTTACTTCTTTTTTTTTTTTTTTTTTTTTTTGTTCGTGGTATCCCCCTCTCAGTTACCAATTAGTAACAATAGTTAATCCGGGTTAGATGGACACATCCGATTTACGCTTTACACCTTTGGGACGTCCACCCTTTGTCTATTTTCCCGCGTAACAATATGCGTAATGGTAGGAGAGGGTATTTCCTTAACTGTAGGTATGCCCCTCCCCCCCAAAAAGGAGGAGAGACTTTCCTTTGCCTACAGGTGTGTTCATCTAAGGCTTTCCCTCTATGACAAAACGAGCACAAGGGATGAAGGGAACCTTAGCACATGTGTCGTCCACTCACCGGACACTGCTACGCGGGTTAGCTACTTCACTGATAAGCTGCCTATCTGATATGGGTTAACAGTGTCCTGTCCCTTTTTTTTTTTTTTTTCCAGCTTTCAAAGTGGTGAAAGAACTTAGGAGATCCATAAAACTAGGCGTACATCATAACGAAACGAATTTGACGATCGCATTTTTTGGGAGGGAAGTCAATTCAGCATGTTCCAAATGGTATTTTTTTTATTTTTTTTCTCTTTTTTAATTTATTCTTTTCCTGTGCACATTACGCTGAACGCGTTCGTGCGCCGATTATAAAATTGACAGGAAAAAAAAAAACACATACATATGAAGATACATGTGCAGATACATATCAAGATACATATACGGATACACAAAAAAACGCTTTACACGGCGGGCACACAAAGCGGTTTTTCAAGTTTTCCAAATGTGCCAAGCCGGCCAACAAGCGAAGACCCCTTTTGTGCGCTTGGAACTAATTTCCAGCCTCACCCCATCATACGCGGCATGTCACAAGACGATTTGTAATTTTCCAGTCTGTATGTGTGCCCTCCCCCCCTGGAGCAGCGCTCACACGTGAGTTAGAAGTTGGTGAAGAGGGTACGTACAACTTCTCCCTCCCGGGGCCACTGAAATGGGGAAGTGTTTCCCAATGATGCCTCCGCCTTAGCTTATATATATGCACACACGTGGAGGCACACACGTGAGGGCACGCGGACGCGGCGTAAGTCCGGCTCACACCTGCTCAGTGACTACCCCTGAGCATGCGCAGAGGAAGGCAGCCCGTCAGGTACTCACGTCTGCACCGCGCAAGCGGAGGAACACACTTGAGCCAAAATGATGGACGTCATAGGCGAAAGAAACAGGAACTTCGACCTGAGCGATTCGTATGAGGGGCGGAGTCCTGGGGAGACGGAGCCGCACATCGGCAACACCGTGAGTAGCAACAACAGTGTAAGTAGCGGAAACACCGCCAACGAGGCAAATGTGGACATCAGCAGCGAGCGGTATATCATCTGGAGGAGGAACACGCCATTCCTGTACAATGCCCTATTGAGGAATAAGCTGGAGTGGCCCTCCCTGACGGTCGAATTTATAGGAATCGATAACTCCTTCAAAGGAAAAACGAACTACTTCACGAATAAAATTTTACTCGGCACACATACGTCCAATCAGGATTCAGAATATGTATACATTGGAGAAGTAAAGGCTCCACTGTATTCAACAAAGGAGGACGTGTTGCAATTTGAAAACTACACAGGCTTTATTAACAACAAGAAGAAGAAAAAGGGTCAGCCACTCCCTTCCTTTGAAGTAAAGGCCAAGTTACTCCACCCAGGGGAAGTCATAAGAGCCAGTCACCTACCAAGCAACTCTTTTTTTATTGTGACCCAGACGTACAATGGAAACATATTGTTGTTTGACTATACAAAGCATCCTTCGTTCCCTTCAGAAACGTCCACTTGCTACCCTCAGATGATCCTCAAAGGGCACAGTAGTGAAGGGAATGGCCTATGTTGGAACATCAATCGGGTTTACGACCGCTGTGACAGGCAAAGCTGGGGCAAGCGAAGCAATGCGTTTAAGGAGGAGGTCGACCCGGATGCGACAGAGGGGACAGAGCCAACAGACACGACGGAGGAAGCCAACGAACAAAACGAATCAGACCAAGCAGAGAGCAGCGATGAACCCTTTGGCGATGTAAACACGAGCAACTTGCTTCTCGCCTCGTGCGCATCCGATGGAAGCATATGCCTCTGGGACATAAACAAAGGGACGAAGAGTAACGAAGTGCCAAGAACCTACGGAATCAACAAAACGGGAAAAAGTGCCGACTATAATTTGAAGATCTACGAGAATACACCCACATTGAGTCCTCTCTGTACGTGGATACATAAAAATGAAGAAACGTCTCTGAACGACATCTTTTTTCACCCCAAGTTTAAAAACGTCTTAGGCGTTTGTGATGATAATGGTTCTATGTGTGTCTATGATGTAAGGGCCAAAACATTTTTCTCCAAACCGGAGCTCAATTTTAAAGATCACAATGCAGCCATGAACAGCTTTTCTTTCGATACCTTTTCTCAATACACTTTCTGCTGTGGGTATGCAGACGGATTAGTTTCCATTTGGGATCTGAGGCACGACAAAGAGTCTCTGCTTCAGCTAGACTATCACACACAGAGTATTAATCGGATTAAATTCTGCCTGATGCAGTCAGGCATTTTTGGATCGTGTTCGGATGATGGAACAGCATGTATTTGGGACATTTCCAGGAACTCTCTAAATTATGGACAAGTGAGAAAAGCGGAGGATGACATTTATAATAATCCGAAGAAAATTCCAAAGCAGCTGCTCTTCGTGCATGGGGGTCACGTTGGAAGTGTGTATGATCTTTCTTGGGCCAACAGCAACACCTTGTTGGTGGCCACCGTGGGCGTGGACAACTCCCTCCAGGTGTGGCACATGAACGAGCAGTTCTTGTTTCAGTGACAGAGTAGCGGCGGAGTAGTGCCCGCATAGTGGTACTATTCCGTATCTTCTTGGAGGGGATGGGGAACTCCTCCCGGATGGCCAAACGATGACATGTTGAAGCGAAGACACGGGTTCACCTTCAACGTAGGAACAGACAAATGTGGCGGGACCCACATTCCTGCGCTCTGCCCCAAAAGGGCTCAGGGGGAACTTTTTTTTTTTTTTTTTTTTTTCTTACGTTGCCAAGGCGTATGGCAGCGAAAACGGCAATGTAACTTCCCGAGTCACTAATCAGCATTGTAACTCGCCCGCTCCGGAAACTCCCCCAACGTTTTGCGAAACGGACGAGTAAAGGGGTACCTGTCCCGCCACCACCCGAGGCAACCCATGCTGTCACACGATAGTACATTTTACTTTCCATACAAAAGATTTTTTTTTTTTCTTTTAAAAAATGAAAATGTTTTCTTTTAAAGGTAAGGTGATTCTTTTTTTTTTTTCTTTTCTTTTCTTTCCTTTTTTTTTTTTTTTTTACACTTGGAGGAAAATGGGTCTTCTTTTAAACTTCACTCCGTCTGGCACGTCGCGCCGATTGGCCGAGGGGAGACACCCGCTCAAGACACGCACATACAGCGCAGAAGCGCACTCGCAACAAAAGCTGAAATGGGAAAACGGGAGAAGGTGCCCACTTTGGAACTGCTGCAGAGCGTCGCGGAATGACCCGCTGGTCCGTCTCTACATCGTCCGTCTCAACATCGTCCGTCTCAACATCGTCCGTCTCTACATCGTCCGTCTCAACATCGTCCGTCTCTACATCGTCCGTCTCTACATCGTACGTTTCCACATGGAGGTTGTGGAGGTCCCCCGGAAAAAGATTCATTTGGGTGTACTTTCCCTCTGACTATGCTCGTTGCACATTTAGCCGAGCCTTTCCTCAAATGATCACCCCGGCGGTTACACATTTTTCTTTCGGATCGCAGTTCCTCCCCCAAGGGATAGTTCCGCATGTGTCTTTACCTCCCAAAAGAGGAACCTTCCTCCTTCCCGTGTGCACACACGTCCAGTAAATCCCATCACATATGATGATAAGCGACACAAGTGAAGATGCCAACGGGGGAGAAAATGAGATGGCCCATGAGAATGTAAAAAGTGGATGCGACGAAGAGGACATAAAATATAAAAAACCAGACACGCACACCAATTTTTGGAAATCCTTCGGGCTTGGTACCAAGGCAGGGAAGCTCCTTTACAATCTGTACGGGGAGAGAAGCAAAATAACCCCCGCGCTTATCAGCACCAAGAGGGCTACTAAGGAGGATCCACCGATGAGTGAACTTTCCGAGGTGGAGAGGAGACGTCCCCAAGTCAGCTACCCCGAATTCAAAAGTGGGTGCCATCATGGGGGTGGGATCTCTGCCCAGGGCGCAGCCGCTTTGCTCCCTCTGTGCAAGTTACCCCCTAACAGGGCTAGCAGCTATCCTGTTAAGCGGCTAACCCGGTCAGCTTCTAACCACGTCGGCTGCTAATCACCACCACTGCCCCCCCCGCAGAGCCGGTCCGGAAGGAACACCCAATTGATACGATACCGCACAGAAAGCCCCTGGCAAAAATCCTGGAAGACACAAAAAATTACGAATGCATCAAAGAGCTTCCTGCACGGATCGAACGAGATCGAATTTTGGAAAAAAAAAAACTCAGCGACCTTTTCTTTGGTTACAAATGTAAAGTGGTCCCCCCCAGTTCTTCTCCGGCTGTCTTAACGGACGAGGAGAAAAGGGAAGCAATCGAGAGTGCTGAGAAGGCTTTCTCAGACATGAGAAATTCCAGTTGCAGGGAAGACAACCTTAAGGAAGGCATGAAGGTGTATCAAGCCGAATTGATGACGGAACTACGAGAGAAGGTAGACCAGTATAATCAGCTTGTATCCGTTGGAATGGCAAACAAGGAGGGTGGCGCTCCGACGGACAGAGAGTGCAACGAATATGAATATAAAAAAATTCAGCTAGTCAACGAAATTCAGGATTGCAAAAGGAACATTGAGAAGACGAATGCTGTGCTGGATTCGTCCAAGTGAGGGGTGCCTCAAAAGGGTATACTTCCTTGAGGGGGGGAGAATACACACCTCGTTAAGGGTATACTTCCTTGACGGGGTGCTCCCTTAAAAGGGTATACTTCCCTGAGGGTACTCCCTTAACGAGGTGTGTGTTCACCCCCTGGATTGCCTCCCCCCTTTGTTATGACGCTGAATTGAAGAAGTGGACCCTGCGGCGTGAAACGGTTTCACCGCCGAGCTGTCAGATGGGGGAGCCCCAATGGGACTGCTGCGCAGTCGATTGGTTAGTAGGCGAGTGGTTAAGTAGCAGATCGACCTATCATCGCCATGCTCCCGTAACGTGTGCGGTAGGATGCCCCTAACCGTCCTCCCTCAAACGCACTGGACAAAGTATATCCTCTTTGTCACGAAAATTGCCTCATCCCCAAATGGGAAGGATTGTTCTTGTTCTGAGGCTCGTGAACTGTGCGAGTGTTTCCCTTTCTGACTGCCACTGGACACTGTGGGAGGGGTTGACTTCACGTTACTGCTGCCCCAATTGATTTGATTTGATTTTTTTTTTGGCTACTCTGGGGCGTCGGCAATCAGTCCGCTCGCATGTACCCGGTGAAGGCTCTTCCCCCAGGGGGTCCACAGAGGAGCAGGGTAGCAAAGCGGTGGGGCAGCCAAGCGGTAGGGAGGCGGGACGACCAAGCTGTGATAACGCTGCCGCCCCTGCGTTAGGCCTTCTCACGACGTGTCTCCTTTACGAGGTGTCACCTCCCACACACACACAGTGGCACTTAGGTTAGACTTCGAAAAGGAAGCGGCAGAATGTTTCCCCTCCAGCCAGCCTGATGCCTTCCAATTTTATTTGATTGGGGGGGGCACTCACAATTCGCCATCCGTCCGTCATGCGATTTGCCTTTTTCACTGCGCCTTTTTTAACTTTAACGTTA